CATTTTGTTATAATTTACTGTCAGAAGTAGGTATATAAAAGAGAGCGGAAATGAGAGTAATGTAGACAGTGTTACTGCTGAACCATTGTCGTTCTGGATGACAACCTAGTTAGGTAGTTAGTAGGCAGGAGCTTACTAGGTTTTCATTTAGATCGACAATGGCTGAACAAAGTAATTCGCGATCCAAGCAAATAGGTCAAAAATGACTGATTTCGTACTCGAGCTTAATATGTATATGCCCGATGAACACCAGCCATTTTATGAAGACATTTTTAAAACTGGTGGTATTAATTTATTAATTATTCACCTATATGGCTCATTCTGCAAACTTCATTCTCGTAGGAAATCCCTATCATTCCGTGCTCGTTAAACAATATACTATTCTGTCATTGGTATAGTCGTGTGATGAAGAGATGCATGGATACTTTTTGAGACAATAATATCGATTTATGAAATTCCAGTTGGTTGCCATATTTGAAAACTAACGAAATCGGAAGGTAATGGAGGTAGCAACCTCAAAAAGTGCGCCGCAGGTGAAATTTTTTCCACTGTCCGCCATAAGTAAATGGACTGGATCCTAACCATCTAGTACATAAAAAACCTGAAAATGAATTTGTAACATTGGAAAACGGAAAACGGTCTTCTGCTGCTTTCCTCGGTTTTCTGAGTTTTTTCTTGTGCATGGAAACCTATATCTTGATAACTTTATTCAAGATTAAATGCCATTTCTTTATGAGCGTGTGATAAATGGGAAGTTTGGAGTTTTGGAATTCTTCCAAGATCATCTTATTTTTTTAGTTTGGCCATTGGCGAAGTGTGGCGTTTCTAGAAACTAGGTCACCGTTGCTCTTTGTATCTTCGGAACTCCATCGATCTTATCTTTGAATTTGAATCTCCTTCGAAAATTCAAATCATTATCTATGGATTTATTAGGTACCCATCTACTAAATGCCATTTTTTATGCAATACATGGTTATCCTTGCATCAGAAGAAACTTTCCTGTTTTTTCATCTTAACTCACTTTGTTACGTTTTTAATAATTAATTGATCCTTTCTTCTCGTCATCGCGGAACCGTATCATCTGGATATATATTATATAATATACATAAAATTCAGATGGCGATTTGAAAAATTAATGAAACTTACATAATATTATTATACTCTTTCTGACAATTTTCCCCCGATCTTTATACGATGAAAACCGATGAAAAACATTAGGACTGCGAACTTCAGTCGGATAAAATGTAAAACAAGTGAAACTATAAGTCTCCGTTAAACCAGATTTTTCTCAGAATCAGTCTCCATCAACCCATCAATACAGTCATCGCTATACAATATTTATCTTTGTTAGCTTTCATCATCATTATCATCATCATCATCAGACGAAATTCTGATGTTTCTGATTTCAGTCAGGACTCTCAGGAGCAGGTTTGGTTTCGGTGAATGTGATCTCAATTGATTTAGGTTAGAAATATTCAAAATATAATCAATTGTTTCATTTGACACGGAGTCAAAATTCTATATCTATTTTTATCTATCATGAACTGGATGAGAGAAAATTATGATTTAACCACAGTATCTAACCTATTACGTAAGAGGTTATATACTGTGATTTAACAACAAACTGTTTGTTTGTCGTATACCTTTTATATTTAGGACAGTTGTAAAGTAACCTGACCACTCAGAAGTCCCAGAATCAGCATTCTAGGATGCCGATTTCAATTTGACAATTTCAAAAAAAAGATAGCAGACACACAATAGGTATGAGGAGACCATTTTTGTCAGTCCCATCCAATCGATTTAAATAAGGAAGCAAAATAGAAGGAGGAAGCAGAATATAGAGAATCAGAAAACTCGAATTACTGAATAACATTAAACATTAGGACTGGCAAAAATGCAGCCGGGGAGAGTAATCTCGAACACAAGCCAGAATGGAATTTTCCAACTTCCTCCACTCTACTCAAACTCAAAGCTCAAAGGGATACCAACCAACGGGTCGGAAACACTTCATCTCCACAATCTATGCGTATGCCTCATGGGGCTTCGAAAAAATGTCGGATATTGAGGCAAGGCAACAAGGCAAGCGTACAGTCACAGCACACTCGGATCGTTCGAAATGCAACGATGAACAGATGAACGATGTGACCTCGAACGCGATTACTTTCAGCCGGCTGCAGCTCGAAACCGTTCCAACGAAAGTGGCGAATAAGGACTATAACCGCTTGTGGCCTTATCGGGACTACGCCAAATGTTAACTCTTTGATTGATAATGTTGCAGCGTCTATTCTAAATGGATCAGGGTAGGTAGGTAGGTGAATTTTTCTTCAAAAAGTTGACAGATGTCGATAAAAATATATATATAGGTACAGAGTCTTGGGGCTTGGGGCATTGAAACGACGCGCTAGGGGAATCGACACGGACGACTCGGCATTGGCAACACCGCTTGAAATGAGCTCCCTAACGGGGCCTCTCTGAGCAATGTCGATTAAATGGAGTGAAATCTAGTCAACTGGGAGCTAGGTAGGTATTACCTCCCAGATCTATCTCCATTCAGATTACATTGCTCAAAGTTGGCCCTATTCTTGGCATAGAATAATATTTAATTGGAAAACAAATACCTACCTATACCTATCGAAGTTTTTAATGTTTGGTCTCTTTTGTTGTACCTAGCTTGATCCTAGGTTTTGGTATCGATAATCATCATCATCTGTTCATTTCATGAATCATTACGCTTACATAGGCACATCTGTCAGCTGTCACCTAGCTTGCTTATAATGATGACATTGACACTTGACGGTATAGTGGTCAAGGTTTTCACAGGTCTTTATAAAGAAAAAGGTCATTCAACTTTTGAAGAAATGTTCCTAATTTGATGAACATATTGAAAAATATAAATTTTTCGTGCTTTTGGTCGTGTTTTCGTACGGTCGAAGAGTTCATTCAATAAGTGCAATCACTACAACCCACAGTTTTTACCGACATCTGTCATAGCTAAAGGAGAAACATCAGGGGAAACAATGACGTCATTTTTCGATAAAATGAGGCAATCTCACGCGTGAGTCACGTGTCGAACAGGCTTGGATGAAGGGTGATTCATCACACTATATCTAGGGCAAATTCAAAGATTTGGTGGTGTTTCTGGAGAAAGGTTGAATGGATTGAGGAGTTATCCGCTAATAAAAAACCCCTAGTAGGCTGTTGCAGCTGCTATAGCTATTTGCTATTTAAATTTTAGCGTTGAGTGTGGATGGAATGGATACAATAATGTAGTTATTGGTTTTGCGCATGCGCAGCGGTCGATGTATATCATTTGTTTCCTAGCACCGATAGGGGATTCTCCGCCGCGGTCGGAATACTCGGAATTGAAAGCCTTCCAGTTTTATTCTGCCTCCGCCAGCGTTGTATAGCGAGCGGTTGGACTGGTGTTTTAGCTTGGAATGTATATATTACATAACCGTTCATACTTTGTTGTCACTTTGTGTTTGTGAAGTACCTCAAGTACCTAGTATTTATTGGTTTAATATATAGCTTTCTAAAATCCTATTGGTTTTTGGGCAGATGGTTAAAAAGTGCTGGAAGTGCTCATTTAGGTTTTTATACAGGTGTGTACCTACCGATCTACTACACTGTCTCAGTTGTAATTGTGAGTGAATCTGTTCCTTGTTGTTCCACGAGTATGTCGCGAGAGGTAATTGTTACCACGACTTCAGGGGCGTACCTAAATTCTTTTTGGGAGAATCCAAGATTTGAAATAAATACAGAAAATTAAAGGGGCGCTGAAAAGTGAACGTGAAAAATTATTAACGAACATCGACAATTTGGAATTTAGAAATGTCTCCGATAACATCTTAGGGAAAATTAAAATTGCGACTTCAGGGGCTTGCTCAATTTTTCATGAGGGGGGGCGGCAAAAATGAAAAAAAATCAGGAATGCGAAATAAAATTGAAGTCTTCAGAACCGTACCTATTTGTTTTCGAGGGGTCGAAAATAAAAACTTTTGACTTCAGGGGTGTACGCATTTTTTCTAAGTGGGATCTGAAATCTAAAATTTTGAGTTTTTTCGGCAAAAGATTTGTTCAAGCCATGGGGTGCTTTGTGATCCACAAATTACTTCTATACAGTGTGTTTCAGAATTCAGAATCAAGTTTTCAGGGGCTTATTTTTCAAGTCAAACGCTTCGTTGCCGATCTACAGAACGTCAAAGTTTCAAGATTTTCTTATTTTTTTCTTGAAGTTTTCTCAGATAAACTTTGAAACAGTTTACGTTTCCCGGTTTCCATGACGAATGATTGCGTAAGAGTCACATGGCGATATTTTTCCAATGGTCATGTCTTTTCCGTTTTTGCTAAATATATAATAACCTTCTTCATAAAGATGTTTATTAAATCTGGTGAATTACAAGAAATGACTTTGATTTTTTCTGTCGATAACAGTCGCAGATGACAAAAAAGTTGATGAACAAAACAAAAAAATAATTTTTCTCATTATCCCCCTATCCCCCTGTAGATTCTTACAATCACTGATGGCATTATGTATGATGTAATCCTTAAAACGTAACTTATGTTTCAAAATTATAATAATAATTATATATTTGTTTTTCATTTTTTGCTATAAACATTACATTGCATCTCATATAAATATATTTCATTAACATTTACAATGAAATAACACGAATAATCAGACAAATTCATATCTGAATATCTCGAAAACTGAAAGAGCTATAAAGAAAAAGAGAACAAAAATCATGTTTTTAGAAAAAAAGTGTTATTTTACACTGAAAAATAAGCCTCAGAAATTTTGATACTGAATTCTGAAACACCCGGTATATCGGTCCTATCGTTGCCTGGCAGATAATGATTCATTTCTATATTATTCAATCTTGATTCAAAATTCATGGACATTTAGAAATTCACTCGAACAAATCGCGTCAGTTCCCTAATTATTTTGACATATGTCAAACAATTCAACATCATATTCATCAATATTTTTTCTCTTGCAGAAACCATGGCGTCTACCGTTGAGCCATGCGAGTCTAATTCTGCGGGGTTATCTTCCCTTTCTACTACCATGGAGATGTTCGATACATTCAAATCTTCCCTCAAAGACGACGATAAAGATTCAGATGAAGAAAGCTTCCATCTTCCTATGTTGGGCTGTGATGATGATACGGATAGCATTAGTAAGTGAATAATTGGAGAGAATGAGGACGACAACTCATTTTTCGTTCTTTCAGATAAGGATATATCAGGTACCAATACTCCGATTGCAGAAAACGAAGACGATATACTGAACAAGTTCGAAACTATAGCCACACCAGATCTGGATCCTAAGATAGAGGAGAGTATACTGAAAGATATTGATGATGAGATTCTCAGTACAAATCAGAATGAAAATACCGCGGATAAAAAGACTGAAAGTGACAAGCTGTCAAACATCGCCACAGATAGTGTAGTCGAAAATGAGAACGAAAGTGATGAGAGTGCAACTAAAGGAGATATATTCAGAGACTTAGAAATTGTTGACGAACTAGACGGTGACGATAAGGATTATAATAATGAAGCAGAAAGTCTAATAGAAAACAACGATGAGTCTGAGACAAAAGACTGCCAGGATAACATTGATGAAATAAATGAATCCGCACAAATTGAAGATACTACGGTTCCTAAAGATGAAGAAGTTAACGGCGAAGAAAAGAATACAGAAGAAAACATTGCTGATGTTGAGGAAACTCAGAAAATTTTGGAAACGGAAGCGGATGCTATGGCAACTGAAGATGCTGAAGAAGAAATGAATAACTCAGAAAATGAGAATGTGATGTCAGTAGAAGACGAATCTAAAACGGGTGATGGTAATCCAAATGAGGATTCGAAGATGGGTGAGGAATCGATCAAAGAAGATACATCAGAGCAGAGTAAAGTGGACCTCAGAGAAATCACTGATGATAATGATTCGGCTGATCGTCCAAAGGATAGCGAAGAATCAATGAAAGAAGATGCAATGGAACATTGTGATACAAGCGTTGACGAAGATGAATTGGAAAAGTTCAAACTTCGAGTTGATGAAAATGTCGAGGACGAATCAATAAAAAAAGATGGAATGGAACAGGATGAAACAAATGTTGATGAGGATGGTTTGGAAAAATTCAAACTTCAAGATGAAAATATCGGAGATGATAATTCAGCTAAAGACTCAAAGCAAAGTGACCAATTGATTCAAGAAGATGCATCTGAACATAATATAGCGAATATTGATGGAGTTGAAGAACAATCAATGGATGTGGATGACCAAACATCAAAGGAAGACATGGCGGAGGGTAGTGATGAAAACTGTGATACTGATGGCGATGAATCGCTGAAAAAAATTGAAGATACTGAAATGATTTGTGATGAAGACGATGATAGCCTATTGAAGAATCTAGTAAAAGAAGTGAATGAAAAACTAGATGGGGATGAAGATGAGATGATGCCTGATGTTAAAATCCCAGATGTTACAATCGCAGAAACACATGTGAAATCGAATGTTGATGATGGTACCAAAGATGAATTGATTGAAGAATTTGCGGATACAAGCGGCAATGTTGAAAACTCTCTTCCAGATACAATAGCTCCTGTTGAAAGCTCTCTTCCAGATACAATAGCTGCAGTTGAAAACCCTTCTTCAGAACCAATAGCTTTAGTTGAAAAGTTTGTAGATCCAATGGATACAGTGGAAAACTCTTCTTCAAGTTCAATTGCTACATCTTCAGATCCAATAGCTATAACTGATAATCCTTCAGATCCAATAGCGATAGCTGAACACCCTTCTTCAGATCCAATAGCTATAGCTGAACAGACTTCCTTAGATCCATTGACTATAGTTGAGCAGACTTCTTTAGATCCAATAGCTGTAACTGAACAAACTTCTTTAGATTCAGTAGCTGAACAGACTTCTTCAGATTCAATAGCTGCAACTGAACAAACTTCTTCAGATCCAATAGCTGAACAGACTTCGTCAGATCCAATAGCTGAACAGACTTCGTCAGATCCAATAGCAATAGCTGAACACTCTTCTTCAGATCCAATTACTATAGCCGAACTCAGTTCTCCCAATCCAGCTGGTTCAAATGAAGAAATCGGTAATAAAAGTCCGGAAGATACCAATACAGCTGATTTGGAGGAGAGTGCCATGGAACTTGATACGGTTGTTCCAGAATCTCAACAAACATCTTTGGAGGAGGTGCCAGAAAGTGTTGAAATGTCATCAGAAGTGACAGATTCGGAAGTAAAATCGGTACCAAAACAGTTGAATGACACTAGCAATGGACCTGAAGTGGATGAGAAAGAAAAACCTTCTGAAGATAAAGAGCAACCGTCATCGAAAATAAGCGAGAAAGATGAGCAAACTGAACCGGAAACAGCGTCTAACAACTTGGCATGTGACGACTTGTTGGACGTGTCTATTATCAGAGACTTAGATGAAGATATCGCCGACGCTATCGAAGAAAACACGGTTCAGTCTAGCGAAAAATCTGATAATGATGATCAGGAAGATGACAAGGCAGATAACGAAATCGACGAGACCGAAGAATTAGTCAATTCGAGCGATAAGGATGAACGCATGGATTCAGAGGATGGAAGTAATATGTGCGATCAGGAAACTTCTACAAATGATGAAGTAACTAGCGATGCTGTCGTTGATAGTGAGAGTAAAGATGATGATGTTGTGATGAAGGAAACTGAAGCGTTGCCAGTGGCGGCTAAGAAAACGAGTGTTGTTGAGAATAAGGATACAATAGTGCAGCAGAATATACCAGAAGAGAAAAAAGAAGGTGAGTTAGATTCAGATTTTTTTCACAAGAGCTTTTCGAGTTCAAGTGACAGGTTTTTATGCAGATAATGTTCACATATCTTATGAATCATGTCTTAGAAAATAATCGCCATCGGTAAAGCTTTTGAAATCATCTTGTTTGCATTATCTGCATAAACTATATCTCCGACATTCTTCCGCATATCAATTACAAAAACATGTCTAGAGCTTCTCTTCCAGAATGTTCCATCTCATTAACCTATTTCCAATACGTAATGTGAAACATTACGACACTGATTTTAGTTTCGTAATTATGCGGTGAAGTAAAAAGATGAATGAATGAAGCAGATACCAAAGTTCGAATTGCTTCATTGGCCGCAATATCTATATCTGAATCCATACTTTCGTGATCGAAATTCATGTTGATACATTTTTTCTCAAATTGAAATGAACGCGCCAGAGTTGACAGTTCACAGAATGAGTGACAACCGAGAACACATTAACAGATTCATGACTGGTATACGCCCAAGCATTGGAACACTTGCTTTCTACTTACCTATTCCTCATAAATCGTCATTTCAAGGAATATCTACTGTATTGATAGTAGGTAGAATATTGTAATAATTGTACTATATTCGTATTATAAATTCATAATACGATAATCAATGGGTTATCAAAATCGGCCTCTCATATCGTAATATGAGTCTTTACGATACTAAGCTTGTATCATAACGTAAATTTATCTGCTATAATATGAATCATTCACTTGCAACTGTGAGGTAACTTTTTAGAATAATGTTCATTCACTCATCTCCTTTTCTTCTGACCTCTTACAAGGAATCAAGAAGGAGAATTCAATAAAAACGGAATATTATTCCAATTTGATGTCAATCTCGATGTACAGTTTGTCTACTGTGTGGCAGAACTTATATCAAGGGCGTAGTAAAAGGAGAGGGGGTGAGTGATCCCGGATCACCAAAAAATCGTTCTAGCCCCGTCCAGATTGAACAGATGAATAAATGGAGTTATTTTCACAAAAATTCTCAATGAAAGGAATTTGACCTTGAACGAGAAAATATTTTCAATAGCGCATTTTATCTGGCATGTGACCAATTCCCCCCCCCCCCTTGCCCTCCCCTGGTAGAAACTAAAACAACGACCCTGAGTCTCACTGACTGTACTGAAAGAAAATTATGGAAGGAAATCAGTATAAATATTCATCTGGCAACACTGGATAAGTGATAAGTGGAAACACGGAGAAACATTCGCATACATTTCGGAGAAAAATGTTATATCCGAGAATAATTTGTTCTGGCGAGTCAGCTTACTGTTCACGTTAACAATGGTGGCCATTTTGTATGTACCTGGTCACTTTTTTCACACAGGGTATTTCGAATGGAAAATTAGTCTTCCGGTTAATATATCTATACAGCAAAACGGAAGAAGAATCTACACCCAAGTATAATAAGAGAACAGATGATGATATACTCGCTAATCACTGACCTACATCAAGGCCTGGAGATTCAAAATAGTCTTGGAAATGCGTTTGCATTATAGGTATTTCTAGGTTGGAACACATCATGTTTCCACTCTCCCTTCAGAATATCACATAGAAATATAATAGCAATCATAGCAGATCGATTATATGTATTGTATTATTATTTATTATACCGAGACAAAAAATCGATGTTTGAGAAAGGTGAAAGATCGATGTTTTTCTCATCTCCCATCTCTAGTCAGATATAACCTAAACATGCATGTTACTCATGTCACTATCACAAGGTCACAATTGTCACAACAGAAGTCAGAAAAAAGTAAAGAAAGAAGTCAATGAAGTCAATAACAATACTAAACATTTCTAAGGGGGATAAAAATAGTAATTCTTTCAGAATATTAATATTCACAATGTTTATTCATGAATTTAATTTTAGCAATTCATTTGGAAATCTCGAATATTTATTGCGAAAATCCAAATTAAAGATCAGGTATGTGTGATTAAATCTTCAATGGAACCTTGATCTTCTTCTGTTTTGTGTAAGATCTTGTCAAACAAAAAATTATGAATAATAAATGAAAATGATGAAAAATTCATTGGCATAGCAGCCCTTTGCTGAATAATATGGAGAAAGAATGGGAAATGCTTTCACCATCACAAATATCCTGGACAGTTGTAAAGGTGATTTTCTTCTCAATTCCATCTTGACATGTACCAAAATATTTTCGATTTTATTGATATCCACAAGAAATTAAGCCAGATATATTATTTGGGATTCCTGTCACTATTTCCTTGATTTTTTGCAGAGACCTTGAAAGAAAACAGAACAGCACTTGGTAAGAGATCTTTATCTGATTCGGATAATGTAGAAATAGCAAGTAAAAAATTCAGACTGTCTGATGTTGTAAAGGATGAAAAGACTGCCACAGAAAAGACAAAGAAAGCCCCCAAAGGCAGCAATCTCAAAACGCTTATATCATTCGAAAACTTCATGCAGAATAAAAAGTTCAGCAGTAAAAAACTTACCAGATCCGATTTGGAACAATTTTGCCTACAAAAAATATGTGAAGCCATCATGCACAAAACTGATGTGGGGGAACTGCATCAGGCAATTAAGAAGCAAGAACAAATCATAGATAATCTCAGAAAAGACCTATTACAACTTTCTAAGCAGGCTAGAGATTTAGATATTGTAAATAAGAAGTTGATGAATGAACTGAAAACTCAAAATGGAACTAGAAAGCCATTGGTGCCATTGAAAATCACTAGGTCTGTTGGACTTCAGGTGAAACTTAATATTGGCATTGAGCAAACTCCTAGAAGGAAACAGGCTGTTGTTAATACTCCAAAAACACCTACAACTCCGGCAAATAATGCTTCTGTACTTCGTAATAGGAATATTACACCAGCTAATTCTAATGTTGTTAGACAAGTGCATCAGGTAAGTGTTCTAGTACTCACCAAAAAAACTTCATTTATTCTTTATTTGGTAAAACTGCATTTAGCATGTGATGGGTTTTTATTGGAAAATTGTTTTTGGTACTTACGTATTTTTGTCTGAAAAACATGAATTTGATAATGAAAATGTGAACAAACCATTATTTATTATGATATTTCACTATGAAGTTACAAATTTCATATTTTTTTCCGCATGTCTTCTGGATTGCATTTAAAACAATTTACCCTTCTTTTTTCATCATTGGACAATTTATATATATCACAATGTAAGACACATTTTTTTCTATTATTGAGTCAACTAGAAATATGATTTTCTTGTGATTTATCCATATTTAGTGAAAAGAAGGAAGACTATCATTTAAAATTAGTGATCGACCGATACCGATGCCTATATCGGCTATATCGACCGAGGGCCGATTATCGGTATCGGCCGATATATCGGCTATATCGGCCGAGGGCCAATTATCGGTATCGGCCGATAGATGTGAGTATATATCGGCCGATGTAGAAATAAAGACAACCATAGCAGCTTAAAAATGTTTTTATTATATTTAAATTTAAAGTAATATTTGAAATAAGGTAATCTTAAGAAATTATGGTAGATATAACATGAAATAGGCATTTAATATTAATACTGTGGTTTCGGCAAATTATCATGTAAAAAAATAAGTGTCTCGGTTGTTTCTGGATTCAGCCGATTCCTTTTCGCCGAATTTACGGTTATAAGGTTATAAATTATATTACAGAATATTCATATCTTAGAGATTTTAGACAATAATAATTAATAATGAATGTTATCATTTAAAAATGGCCGATATGCTGATATATACGGTTATCGGCCAAGACATTATCGGTATCGGCCGATTATCGGTATCGGCTAAAAAAGTCATATCGGTTCGAAAGTTCGAAAATAATTATAAACTTTGATAGACTCAATTTCGGAAGATAATGAGTCTACAGAGACAGTTTTTGTATTATATTATAGCAAATTTGGTGTAGTTTAAAAACGTTCTGAAAGAGTTTTTTTTCAAAAACTAGTCCTTTAGGGTTATGATCGCTCAAGGTCACAAACTTGGATTATTATATTATATGGAACAAGTCTGTAAAAAATTAAACTACCGGATTTGACGCATACTGTGATGTATAAAATTACTGGATTAACAGTCGATCGACCACAAAAAAAGTGAAGTCCCTGTATTAATGTTAGTTATGAGAGAAATTGATCTAGCACACTCCGTCGGAGGTAATTGAAACTTCATCCCGCTAGAGTATATTCGAGTGACGCCTAAAACATTGCAAGGAATTGCGAAGTTCGAAAAAAATTATAATCTTTGGAAGGCTAAATCTCGAAAACTATTGGGTCTGCAGAGACAGTTTTTGTATCATATTGTAGCAAATTCGATCTGCTTTAAAAACGTCCTGAGAGATTTTTTTTCAATAACTAGTCCTTCAGGGTTATAATCGCCAAAATTTGAAAAAATTACGATTTTTTCGCGGTTTTTTCGATTTTTGACAAAGTTGCGTTCGGTGCTCGAGGTCACAAACTTGGATCATTCATTGGGCCAACATCATGAACAAGTCTGCAAAAAATCAGAACTACCGGATTTGACGCATACTACCCCCATATGTTCAGGCGACAAAGTTACTGGACTATGTGCCTTTTATTATTTTTTTCTCAAGAATCCCAATGTTTTTGCAGCCGACCGCCGCCGCTGCCCCCGCTCCCACTCCTACCGCCTCCCACCCCGCTCCCACCGCCGCCCACACCGCTCCCACCCCTCCGCCCGCCCCCTCCCCTCGCAAGACGCCCGCCACGCCCATCCTGTCGCAGGCGCTTCAACAGCGCGCAACGCCCACCAACGCGCCCAAGCGCCTGGCTGTCCGCCCCAAAACGCCCGCTGAGCCGCCCAACGCGCCCAACCCGGGCGTCATCGATCTGACGGACGAGGACGCGCCGCAGGCGAAGACGGCGCAGCAGCAGGGTGGGAAGACGGCACAGCAGCAGGGTGGGAAGACGGCGCAGCAAGGGGGGAAGACGGCGCATCAGGGGAAGATGACGCAGCAGGGTAAGATGGCGCAGCAGGGGAAGACGGCGCAAGGGACGCCGGTCAAGATACTCAATAAGAATATGCCGGTGGTGCAACAGAGGACGCTCAATGTCGTGCAGAGCAAGAACGGTGGGGCGAACAAGATCGTCGGGCAGGCGAACGGTATGGGAATGCAGCAATTAAATCAATCGATCAATCAATCATCATTTCCATTTTTCGACGTGATTCACATTCTTCGGAATTGTCAATCAATGATAAGTAGAACAGGATCATCTTGAAAAAAAAACATGCACGGAGAATATAAACATAAAAAATGATAGGTGCGCGAATTGCATCAAACAACTATCATTCATTTTCTTGTACTTTGTGAAAAAATGAAGAACGCGATTTGAAACAGGTGATTTTCTTGGATTTTGTCAAAAAATTCATATTTTGAGTCGCAACCTCTATTCTCATAAGTAATCTCACTGCTATTAAAAATCTTCAACTATTCACTACTCCTCAATATGTTTCAAAACAGTTGATTATTTTTCCTATTCTGCTCCTTTGATAATTGGGTGCATGGGATTTTGCAATCAATTTAGATCCCACCTATAAAACGTCAATCCTTTAACCATTTATCCCTTTTGAACTGATGTATTTTTTTCCTTGTTTATATTTTCATTTTTAATATACTTGGTGAGTGAAATTCTAGTAAATGCAGTTTGGATACTCTCGGAGCTACAGAGAGGATCAAATGGAGGCAAAGTTGCGCAATTTTATGCCTACAAAATACCGTTATGAAATTTGAAGAATTCTGAAAACTTTCGAAGATTTTTATTTTTTTTAACTTTGAGTAGATGTAGCAAAACAATTTACACATTCTTATTCCTACTTTTTCTGTTCTACAAGATGGTGTTATCAGATTTTCAAACCGACGTTTCTTCTTTATGCTGCAATTATTAACTTTGTTATTTGAATATAGTCCTGGATTTTTTTTTCATGGATTTTAAGAACTTTTAATGTCCTTAAATTAACCTTGTATCGCACTTTTTCAAAATTTCAATTCGATTAAAAATTTATATACCATCAATATGAGTTTTTCAAATAAGTGCAATTGATTTAAGCAGATCAAAAGCTATTAAAATCCATAATGAAAAATCCAGGGTCGTCTTAAAAAAAAAGTTGATGATGGCACCACAAAGGCGAAACGTCGGTTTAAAAATCTGATAACACCATCTTGAAAAACAGAAAAATAAATGGAGTCGGAAAAGAATAGAAATGAAATCGCGAATATTCGGTTTTGAATTTTAATGAAGTTTATACAATTCATACAAATGAAACAAAAGACATTACAATTTCTTGATTGCAAATATTTATCAGTAAAATTTTGATGAGCAATCGATATTCCATCGCGAAATAATTTTATATAACTCATTACCCGAGGAGTTGACGAATATAATGGGAGCAGAAAGATTCGAAATTGATATATGATACTCAAGTGAAGGTCTAACCAAATGGCAATAAAGTAAACTAACTGTCTCAGGAAAGAATTGTTCACTGTTCCTAGTAATGAAACCTGAGTTTCTTGAAGCATTGTTCACTACCTTAGTAAAATGACTTCTAAAAGTTAGGTTAACATCAAATATTCTGCCTAAGTCCTATAGGTCGCGTGCAAGAACTGTCAGATGACCGACCCTGGAGGCAAAACATATTTGTTTACAAGTGATCGAAATAGTTTTCCACAATTATTTTGGCATATGAATCGTATTTTTCCGCTATTCATCAATTCGCTAATGCCATCACATTGTGCTGTTGTAAAATGCACAAAAACTGCAGCGGAAGATGAAGAAATCCGGATGGTACATTATGATTCAAAAGTAAGTACCTACTATAGTCACTCACATAGTTTTCATTTTTGAAATTTGGTAATTTCTCTGATTTCTCATCGGAATTCCTTCTGCAATAGGATCAGCTAATAGAAATATACCTGAAATTTCTAGAATAATGCAAGAAGATTGGATTCATGCAATCAATCGGGAGGACTGGTCTGACATGCTGACGATCGTGTGTGTTGTAGACATTTTCAATCTATTAGCAGCATTAGCTTGTATTGCAGAAGTGGCAGGAGGCAGAAGGAATTTTAATAAGGAATAACAACATTTCATAATGCTAACTATGTGAGATTATTATTTACCTGAAAAATCATATTCCCTAGTCTCTTGCTGCATTTTTTGTGCATTGTACAACAGCACAATGCGAAGGCATGCTTGAATTAAAGAATAACGCAAGAAACACGATTCGTTTGCCAAAACATTGTGAAAAACTATTTCAACCTTTCGATTCCTATGTAACCAAATAAAAAAGTGAGGTTGTGTTTCAATAAGTCACAGAAGAATGAGGTTGTGTTTCAATAATTCACAGAAGAATGAGGTTGTGTTTTTGCCTCCAGGGTCGGTCTTCGTGCACGCGACCTATATCTCATTGACTCTCTTCAATACTGAATTATTGTACTGTACTGAATGTTTTAATTTGGAAAAGTTGATTAATGATGAAAGATCTTGAAACGAACGAGATTTTGAGTGGTGTTAATTCATAGGCATTAATACTTCTTGACAATATCCCTGAGCTTATAAATGAAGACAATTGATCTCGCAGCGGGGCAGCAAGCGAAAGGCCCACAAAGGCCGATGACCTCCCTGCCGCAGGGCGTCCGGCTGACGTCGACGCAGCTCAAGAACGGGCTGACGCTGCCGGCGGGCGTCGTGACGTCGAGTGCGTCGGGCACGCCTCAGCTGATGTACGTCGTGCAGCCGTCGTCGCTGACGTCATCAGCGGGCGGGACGCAGAAGGCGGTGCTGCTGAACTTCCAGCCCACCAGCCAGGTGCTAAGTAAGTGGTTTTCTTTGTTTTTTTGCTGCCACGAATACTGATTAATCCTGATAACTCTACATTACTAACTGGGTTATTTTCGTACCCCACCTAGTTTTCATAATTATACAGCTCTCAACACACTAAATGGACCACTCATAATTTGACTCTATTTCGAAGACCTGTATTTTTTGAAAAAACTGACTGATCTTCATGCGGTTTTCGATATCAGATGTGATGTTTCATCGGCTTCAAAGAGACTAGAGCACTCTGAAAAATTCCGTTAAACAATACTTACACAGGGTGTAAAGTGGAACCATTACACTATGGTCTGCATTCCCAATGCTGCCAGAAATCGAGAAATTTTTTTCTGATCAAAAGTCAGTCATATTATGATACACTGGGACGTCATCTCGGGACATCTCGTGATTTCTCCTCAATTGGCCTTTGGAACAAAAATTCGATTTTTTTTTGCATTTCTTGAATTTTTTCTCTAGAACTCCACTTGAGCTGACTATTGGGAAGAACTGTTCCCATGTTTTGTGTAGGACAATGAAAGACAAAAGAAGCACTATTGTGGAATATACAGGATGATAAGAAAATAGGACAAAATCTCATTTCAGTAAAAAAAAATCAAAAATGGTGACTAAAACCATGGCCCATTCGATTCTGTATATTCAGAAACGTTTTTCTCGATATCCATTATTTATATAAGACTATTAACTCGCGACGTTTTCGAGAATTCGCCTCTAATTGAAATACAGGATGAAAATTTTCAATTCAAACTTGTTTCCTGTTATCGAAGATTCTTATCAACTGATTTCCAATATTTATTGCCCAAGTATGAGACACAGACTATTGTTGTTCAATATACTGAGTGTTTCACAACTCATCTGACGAGAAGGCCGTTTCTGAATATACTGAATCGAATGGGCCATGGTTTTAGTCACCATTTTTTATTTTTTTACTGAAATGAAATTTTGTCCTATTTGGACTAATGGGAGACGATACAATACTTTCAACGATTTTTTATATAATGTTGATACCTTCATTGAGATTATTTTTTGAACAACATCACCAAACATTCATCAAATAGTTGGTACGACTCAGTATGAGAGTAGAGGATCATGTTTGCAATTTCAATATCAAATTTGGGACATCTCAATGCACCAATAATTGGAGATATTTGTTTTGTCAGAACATCAATATGTTTGTCCCACTTCACCTGTCATCAAACCAAATACCAATATATTTTATCTGGTCAGTTTGTTTTGAGAGTTCATTTTTTATTTTGAGGTTGATGTAAATTTGTGTATTTTTTTGATGATAAATCATATATTGTTTTGATAGTATTTATCGATAAAAGGTTAGAGTGGAGCCATTTTTCAAATATTTTTAAGTCTTCATTTATCATATTTTCTAAATTTGAAGGATTCTTGCCTTCATATAAAAGTACTGTATCATCTGCATACATGGTATATTTACTCGCTAGACCAATTTCACTGATATTTCGAACGTAAAGTAAATATAGTAGAGGTCCTAAAACAGAGCCTTGTGGGACACCCTTATTGATTAATAGTTTATTTGACACAGAGTTGGTTGATTTTGTAATGATTGTCCTATTTTCAAGATATGAATTCAAAATATTTCTCACAGTGCCTCTGAGTCCCATTGTTTCTGAGTTTTCTAAAACAAAGTTGATAGTTCGAGGATACCATAACTCCATCCGTTTTTTCTTCAATTCGAATAATTCTACAAAAAATACTCGGATTTTGTAACCTGCGTGTCATTATTCAGGCTATATTCCGAATTCAACTGACAGTACTGAATCAACTGATTTTTCATTCCGAAATTAAAAAATTCACTGAAAGTGACAGATGCTTGTGAGCAGACATACTATTTATTCCAAATATTTCGACTCAACATTCTGCTGAATTTGCTGAGTATCAAAAGGTAGTGTGGCTTCAGTGAACTGTCATTATTTTAGAGGGGAAAGGAATGTAACATTTATTTCCGTTGTTAATGATATTATTCTCAATATCAAAAAATACCCGTTATTGAAATAATAAACGCTGGGTAAATAAATATCTAAATAAACCTGAAATGTCTCCTAAACTTATCATCATTAATGCCATATTACATAAATTTCCTAGTATTCTTCATCACTCGAGCTAGAATCGTCATCGTCAACAATCGGAGAAACTATAAAGGCTTCAAGAACCGATTGCTTTTCCATGTTAAATATCAAATTTCCAAAATGTATGTCAACCAGGAGTCTAAATTGACTAGTTCAGATAAACGAGAAACTACAGACTGACAAATTTCCCCAGCTGATCAACTGTTGCTGACTACTGATGAAAACCATGAAAACGTGTTCCGAATTACAGCACTGCATTTTTTATCTTCTATTTCGAAACACAGATTTTCAGCAGAGTTAGTGGATCTACTGACAGTACTGACCAGTTGAATTCGGAATATAGCCTCAGCCTATAATCCATTGGCAACACTGCTAATGTGTCCCATTCGCGTTTCAGCCTCGACGATGAACGGATCGACGGTCTCGATGCTATCGTCCAAGGGCGCCAACACGGTCCAACTCAAAACCCTTGTTCCCCGCAAACACCCCGCCCCCTTGCCCCTACCCCCGCCCACGATAATCAACGCCTGCCTGAAACCGCTGCTCCCCAAGCCGCATCTCAGCATCCGAAAGACCGACACCGGCATCATCCTGCAATGGCGCATGCCCTACAACCTAGACGCGTACGAGGGCATCGCCAGCTACCAACTGTTCGCCTATCAGGAGACGAACGCTCCCCCCACCACCGACATGTGGCGCAAGGTGGGGGACGTAAAAGCGCTGGCGCTGCCGATGGCGTGCACTCTGACGCAGTTCGCCGACAAGAACAAGTATTACTTCGCGGTGCGGTCGGTGGACGTGCACAAGCGGATAGGGGCGTTCAGCGACCCGGAGGAGATTTCCTTGTAAATTTTATTGTTCGACTGTGTATCATATATGAATGTTGATTTTTTTTTGTGTCGATGCCTGGTTAATTTTAGTATAAGAGTACATTTTTTTTATTTATGAAAATATAATGATAAGTTTCTCGATAAGAAGTGTTCTTTCATCTCTGGTAAGTGATACACAAAGTAATTTCACGAAGAAGCAAAGTAAAGCGAAGTGAAAATTGATGATGGAATTCAAGGAAATGTAAGTATTTTTTTTATTTTCTGGTTCCCACGAAAAGGGTTATCGGGAAACACCTCCCTTGGCAATGCATTCCAGAGCCTCGCTGTTCGTTGGATGAACGAGTCTTTGTTCTGCAGGGCTCCAAAGTGACCATGAAGGGGTACGAAGCCTCAACTCGACGGGTTAATCTCGCGGGGACTGCCAAGGAAGGTACAATAATTGTTGATAATTCAGAATAGCATCGTCCATGAAAATATCTATAAAATAGAGCCAGATCGCCAACTTTTCTACGGTGTTCCAGAGAAGTGAGTGAGTTTGTGAAGGAGTAATCACTCACGAGACGAATTGCCCTTTTTTACACAGAATCCAACAGTTTCAGGGTATGTTTGGGTGCCGCACTCCAAATATGGGAACAGTATTCCAGGGTAGGTCGGATCTGTTCCTCATAGATCATAAGCAACTCACTGGAAGTGAAATAGCTCCTGGCCCGAAACAGAAAACCAAGTTTTTGGGATGCACTTTTAGCAATTGATATAGCGTGATTTTCCCAAGAAAGGTTATTGCTGATAGTAATACCATGCATCGAAATGGATGTTTTCAAAGGTATGGTTACTCCTGACATGCTCATGTTTGGCACAGTGAGATCGGCTTTTCTAGAGAAAAGGCATGCTTGTGTTTTGTTCGCATTGCAATCTACCAAGTTATTGGATCCCCACTCGAGAATTGTTGCCAAGTTCATATTTATGTTGTCAACATTCCTTCCTCGTTCGTTTCTGATCTTGGCTCGTATTGGAGCCCTGGAAGAGAAGGTGGTATGGAGGGTACTATCATCCGCGAAGCTGTGTACTGGACATGAAGTTGCTTCCAACAAATCGTCTTGGAACAGAGGACCGATCGTACTGCAACTTTGTATCAGTCAACGTGATACGAATTAGAGTTGCATCCTTCTTTATTTCAATATCATATCCATAAATATCAAGCATCGAACATATTGGTCCTTCGAGCCGGATCTATTCAAATCGAATCTTCAAGACTGAAGAAGTTCTTCAAAAAGGATACAGAGCAGCACTCAAGAATACCTGGATTAACAGAAAATGCCAAGCAACTGGACCTTGCACAGGTTGCTAGCAGATCAAGCCAACAGACAAGAACGTGGAAAGACCTCAAGAAATCACCCGATATCACGGAAGATAAAAGAGGCCTGTATCAGCATTTGAAAACACTGCTTCAAAAAAGTCGGACAATAGAAAAGGCGTCGAAAGCTGTAGATGAACAAAAAGATTTCCTTAAATTGCCTTCGCCATTCACAATATTATTACCATATTATATGTGGACTTGCCACATGAAGGTCAACGGCAAACCAATGAACTAATATGTGAATGCACAGCAAAACGATTTATGCTGTGGTAAAAGTAGTGTCAAACTCATAAATCTCAGAAATTTACGAACATTGAAAAATGTACTGAGGATATTAATCATTCTGAATTAAAATTAAGTGTAGTTAAGTTAAAGCTCTGATGTTTATAAAATTGGCACATGGTTTTCATGTTGACAACAAAATGAAGTTGAGATTTGCGGTCATCTCGCGGCGAAAATGTACAAGGTTATCTGCAGGAGTGATGAAATCACCCGACTTCACCAATGGACAAAGGATAAAGTAGACTATAAAAACAATTGGCTCGTCATTGAAGGGAAGTGAACAAAACTGTTCAAAAAATATGTTAACCTTAGTCAGCGGTTCAAAAAGTCCAAATTTAATTTCTCTGAAGAACCTAATAATGAGACATACAATCGTCCTTCATTCCAACATGGTTTTACAGGTTTCTCAATGAGTGGAACAATTTTAATTTCCGAAGAAGAAAATGGGAACACGACAAGCAACGACCACAGTAGCATATGAAAAATAACTTGTTAATTCATAAAGAATTCAAATTGGAATTCAGGTGCCGAGATGGTTATGAAAGTAATTTCAAGGCCACCTATTTTGAATCACCCATAGATCTTTTAGATATTTCTCGGACTCAGCCGTAGTCGACCACGGGCATATGCAGCCAAGAATTATTATGCAAGCTTCAAACGAATGCGAAGTTGCAGGTTAGTTCATTTCGAAGTTGGACTAATTTCAGAAAATCTTTTAATTTCTTTAGCTAGAAGGCAGTTGGAACTGTTACTGGTGATGGGTAGGCATCATGTAGGCATTATTAATAAATGGAGGAAATATTGGGTTTACTACATACCATTCCAGCAGCTTGGATAGTTAACTGTAATTCAAAATGGGGAACCAGCTAGTTAAATTGCAGATGGCACTGTTCTATTTGTTCTTCTTCTTTTGGATCACAAAGAAGATTTGTCACCATTATCCTTGCCTGGAACACTTTGAACAGTTCGGGACTCATTAATCTATGGTTGGTTGCAACAAACTAGTGATAACCTTGGATACTAGATGGCGTTGATCTTATTAGTAGAGGATGGATGCCTCGATTAGAAAACGCGGTGAGGGAACGTAGTAATTCATGATGTAATCGCATCCGAAATTGTTATCATTAGATCTAATATATAAAATTCTCCTGTCTCATCAGCCGTGTTAATGGCCAAACTCCTCCGAAACGGCTGTACCGTTTCGTATGAAAATGTTTGTGCGTTTTCGGTAGGTATGAGAATCGGTCGTAATCTATTTTTTAAATCGAAAATTCAAGATGGTGGACGATTATTTTCAATTATCTCCCGATTTTATTCAATATTTTTATCTGAGGGTTTCTGGAGTCGGAGATTGATTTTTTGGTCTAAATTTGTAAATTCAAGATGGCGGATCCAATATGGCGAACAAGTTTTTTAATTACTATCAGATTCCATTTGAAATTGATATCATGGGGGTTCTCGGGTTCGGATATGATTATATTCTTTATTGGGAAATTGAAGATGGCGAAAGAGCTTTGTAATGAATAATAGTTCGAAAGACTCTAATAAAACACGCTTTAATGGATAGTCAAACTCAAGGCCAAACTGAATAGAAGTTGAATATTGATAGTATAGTTTGAAAAAACGAGGTAGATAGTTTGAAGTACTATAAAGAAACACGATTTAATGGATAGCCAAACTAAAAAGAAGTAGAAAACGTTATAATAAAAGTGCGTTGATAAATATTTAACTAAAAATATATTTTCTAGAAATAAATGTATATAGCAAAACATAAAACTAATCAATCACGTTTTTGTAGATAGCCAAACTAAAAAGAAGTGAGTACAAAATAAAGAGTAGTTTGATTGGAACAAATGAAGAGATATAAATAGTGCCGAACTCAAAAGTAGAAAATGAATATATTAGTTTGAAAAACTAGAGAATCCCGCTTTTAAGAAAAGCCTAACTGAAAAGAAGTAGAAATATAATAAGAAAAATTTTTTGATTAATAATTATCTGAAATTTTTCTCTAGAAATATTGTTTATGACAAAACAACGTTAGCCGGGTCACCTCTAGTATATGAATAATTGTAGATCACAGCTGGATAAGTAAATAAACTGGAAGACAGTTGTAAAATATACATTCTCATGACTCGGAAATGGAATTTTAGATGAGGTTACTTCACGAATTACCACTTCCCCTTACAGCGTTTTGCTGAACGAGGCAACCTTCCTTTACAATAATTCTACCAACCTTAGTGCCACCAGTTTTGCCATGAGGTAGAAAAATCTATAATCTTTATAAAGTAAAGGAACCTACTATTGTAGTCACAAATAACTGAACATGCATCATCAGTTTTTCAAGTGGAAAGTGCACTGCAATAGAATCATCTCTCGTTATTTATACATAGATGGCAGTAGAATCGACAAAACCAATGGGGTTTTTTTTAATCAGGAGTAGAAACTGAGGTTCCCATATGAAACAATCAGGCCAGCCTCCAAGTGACCAGAGTATGAACTATGCAATATTTTTATTCCTAATTCAATAGTTCAAAAATACTTTTTTGTAATAATCAGTTGATTTTCTATGTATAAATTTCTACATACACTGATGAACTAACATGTTTTTTGAACTCTGAGCAGACAGGATAAAAAATTCTAACTACTAATAGATCACAGCTTCAAAATGAGACATGGTCATGACTCATTATCTAGGTATAATACAAAATTGAGCTATTGTCACTTCATTCAATCAACCGTTTTCCGAATTTTTCTTTGGATTCCTTTTCTGCCAATTCTACAAAGTTCCTGGAAAATAAAATATGTCCTTAGTTGTATACAATGTTTAAGTTTGATCATGTGATATGAGAACAAAGAAGATTATTAAATATTATATTAAAACATGAAGACGCCAAAATATTAATACCTTATGATGTTATGAATTCCAGGATCTCTGCAAATATATTTATGATTATATCCATATTTCCCGTCGAATCCATGGAAAATTAGTTTTCCTTGTGTAGCCTTCCTACATCGTAAACCTTCCTCATAAAGCTGGAAAAAATTCTTGATGAAGCAAGGTGTTATTCTCAAATAAGAATATATTGTTTATAAAAATCCTCTTATTGCTTGTGGAATATAAAATAACTACATAGTCTTATCTGAAATGAAAACATAGGAGGTCATTGTCCATAGTAAATAGAGTTGATGTAACCAAATAAACATTATTTTTCAAATCGTGATATTTTATAATCATGCAAATTCGATTTTCACATAGTTGAACAATAACGAACCATTAGAACAATAAACTATTCAAAAGAAAGCCAAAATATTCAGAATGTCTAAAAACATTCTTAATTACTATATACATCTTGATATGCAAAAATGTTTGAAGGGAGCTTCATAATTCATTATTTTCTTGGACTCACCTTGTATCCTAATCTGAACGGCACTACATGATCATCTTCAGCATGAAGAATCAAAATTGGTGCATCGACTGCACAAATGAAGTTATCAGTTCTGAAAGTGAAGCCGTTTTCTTGTAAGGGCTCAATAACTGTATAAGAAAACCAAGGCAAACCCCTGAATATCTGAAATCCAAAAAAAAAAACACTCATAAGACAACTCCGATATTCTCGCTAATTTTTTGTCAGCTAGATGTACTTAAACAGTTTTTCAAAAATGTTCATTCACATTTACCTTTTCGTTCAATGCTGAAATTCTGCGATTTCTTTACAGATTCTATGATTTTTTTTTCAAATATTTTGGTATACCCCATCCCTACTGATATTATAAATGTGAATGTAAGTTTGTTCGTCGGGCTTCACGCCAAAAATACTCCACCAAGGACAAAAGATACTTTTTATTGCACAAAAAATATTTTTTACGGAGGCATCAAAGAATCCGTGTGGTGAGAATTCTGTTTTGTACATAAATTTGCAGGACACTTAATGGCCAAAGAAGTTAGGTGAAAAAAATACGGGCATTTACTGTTGGGGCCGATAGTCATTCGTTATTTCAATGATGCTCTTGGCCGGAAAATTTCTGTATTCCTATATGGGTGCGTCCGCATTGGGGACAAGAGACCAATATGGCGGACAAGTTTTAGAATTATGATCCGAATCTATTCAAATTTTGTATCTGGGAGGTTTTTGGGGTAGGAGATTATGAAAATTTGAAGATTCGAGATGGCGGATCCAATATGCCCGACGAGGTTTGTAATTAAGATGCGATTCTATTCAAAATTGGTATCTGAGGGTTTTCGCGGTCAGAGATAATGATTCATTCGTCCACATTCGCAAATTCAAGATGGCGGACGACTTTTGCAATTATAATCTGATTCTATTCAAAATTGGTATGAGAGTTTTCGGGGTCGGAGATGGATACCTTCGTTAAAATTAGAAAAAGCAAGATGGCGGAGCCAATATGGCGGAAGTGTTTTGTAATTATGTTCCGATTCTATTCAAAATCAGTGTCTCAAGGTATTCGGGGTCGGAGAATATGATTCTTTCGACAAAAATCGAAAATTCAAGATGGCGGAACCAATATGGCAGACGCGAGTTTCGTAATTATGGTCCGATTATATTTAAAATTTATACTTCGGGGTCGGAGATTATGATTCCTTCGTCAACATCAAGAAATTCAAGATGACGAATACAATATGGCAATATTACAAACAAAATATAATTCAAAAGGGAACAGTTTCTGGACAAGCTGGATCTTATATTTATTCAAAGGCCGCGGGTAAAAGCTAGTCATGAATAAAAATGAATTTTAATATAGAGGTATGTGTACCTAGATTTCTCACAATGTCTACAAAACCAATACAACACGCTAAAAAAATCCTAATGCATGAAATACTTGAACAAATAATTGATGGAATAATCAGAATTCAAAATTTCCGTTAGTCTACACAACAAAGTGATTTAGACAGTTGCTGCAATTGAAATATCACAAAGAAAAACTACAGGACAGAGCTTCATATGGCCATATTCTCACTTTCATCATGTTTATTCCCAATAGCATGCTATCATGAGAGTTTGATACGAGATTGGAGTGAAAACAAGCCGTATAAAAAATCCTATTAGAATCGGCTGTCCCCATTTGAGGACATGGTTAGCAAAAGAATTAATGTTACTTTTATATTCGCCAATAGACGTGATTCATGCAATTTTAGATTTTACAGTGAATATGGTTTTCTGTCACTTACACGTGCCAGAGGAAATTCGCTGATTTCTTCCCTCATGTTATTAAAGGGCGCCTCTAGGAACACCCCCATCGGTTGGATGCCCTTGGATTGGAGAAGGGCCAGCGAGTGCATCGCGAGACTGGTGCCCAAGGAATGTGCCCAGATAAATATATTACCGCTGGTCCTGTTCGATACCCAGTTGTAAATGTGCAGGCAATCTTTGACCACATCGGTCTCAGACGGTCGCACATCTGTAGAATCTCCATAACCTAAAAATACTATCACGTTACGCTGGTTTATCACTGAGCAAACCAATTTTTTTGGACTTCTCGATACCTCTTACGATAACTGTATTATACTACTATTTCCAGGCTCTCATGTGCAACGAAAATGCTCAAACATCATTATAACCCTACATTTCTTAAGATCAAATGAAATATTCGAATGGATAAAATTATAAAATTGGTTGAAAACACCACTGATGTCAGCGTTATAATATTGGTTCGTTTTGCTGCACTCGATTTATTCAATCTACCGTGCTTTAAATATAGAAGATGTTATTTCAACCTAATTTCAAAGGATATTCTACTTATTCTAGTATGGCCTACATATTTTTCTGCCCTTGTTGAAACTAATTTCATAATCATAATTTCATAAATTCCAGGTTTTTTGAGGGTATCTAGTTTGTCTTTTGGCACGCATTAGGTATTCCTCGATTTTTGAAACCGACGCTTTCAAATCCTATATATTTGGATAATTGATGCTTTATGAAATACTGGTGTCCTCAGAGGAGGCAACAGAGGCTGAGCCTCCTCAAGAATTTCCATACGTCGAATAGTTCGATATCCTTGTAAAGAATATAACACCGAAATGGCCAACTTACGTTCGTTTTATCGGTTTTATTTCCTGATATGCTTTTACTTGAATGTATTCAGAATAGAATACAAATTTGCGACTTGACAACATCCAACGGAAAGCAGCCTCTAATCAATGGAATTCGCCAGAATCGCGATTCGCCAGGGAGCAGGTGTGACGACGATGTTTATAAGTATACAATATAACTGTTTGTTTGAATTTATGCACAGGGTGATTTCAAAATATGTCGGATTTGAAAATGTTGTCGCCAATGTTGCCACTTTTTCAGTTATTCCGGAATTATTATCAACTTCCTGAAAAGCTGATTTTCATCGATCACACTCATGATTACAGAGATATAGGGTGTTCAAAATCGAGATTTTAGACGGATTCTGAAATCCAACTGATGCTTTGAAATACTAGTGTCTGTTCAGGAATACAAATGAAGGATTCTGAAATCTAATTGATGCTTTATGAAATACTAGTGACTACTCTGGAATACAAAATAAATGACGGATACTGAAATTAAAATGATTCTTCATAAAATACAGTGACTATAACTATAGAATACAAATGACGAATTCTGAAATTCAATATATAGATGCTTTACGTAATACTAGAGTGACTACTCTGGAATACAAACGACGGCTTCTAAAATGCAATTGATGCTTTATAAAATACTAGTGACTACTCTGGAATGCAAATGACGAATTCTAAAATTCAATTAATGCTTTATGAAATACTAGAGACTACTCTGGAATACAAATGACGGATTATAAAATGCAATTGATGCTTTCTAGAATACTATTGACTTCTCTGAAATACAAATGACTGATACTGAAATTCAATTGATGCTTTATGAAATAATAGTGAGTACTCTGAGACACAATTGAAGCTTTCTGAAATTGGATTGCCTCTTTCTGAGATACAACGTTGGAGAAAAATCGAACATATTTGCTATTGTGCAACACTAATCATAATTACTGTGTGTCCTATTTATCCCATTTCACGTACTTCTATAATCGAAAGTAATGACATGGAAATGCTTCCTGAGTACTTTGTACAACTCCACCCGGTGTCCGGTCAGTCTTGTACCGGCGTTGCCGTGGTGGTAAATCACGACGTCCTGGCCATTCCCCAGAATATTCTCGAAATACTGATCGTCAGTCTCGGACGAATTCACGAGGTTCTCTGGAAGGATCTGCCAGACCCCCAGCGTGATGCCATCCTCGGTCGGTAGATACAAGTTCCTTGTACCGTCCAGACCGTACTTTTGAGGTTGGGAGAAATCCGATTGGTATGCCACATGAACTAAAAAAATTAATACTCGCAGTAGATATACTCGAAATGATATTTGATGTTTTTCAATAAAATGTAAAGGCTGCCTCATTTTCGATGTTCTTAAGGGATATCTAACTTATTTTCAAAGATATAGCTTTTCGATTGTCGCGAAGTTTGGCTACCCCTCTGTATCTCAGCTACCTTTGCACTTATCAGAAAAGTAAAAACTGTCTCTTATACATTTTTCTAAGTAGAATCTAGTGGCGTAGTTAGAATTTCAGACCCAAAGTTGAGTTTTTTGAAAGTAACATCCTGTGTATTTTTCCATATTTGATACATTGCAAAAATATACAAGGTGTAGTAGTAGCAGTAGTTTATTTAGCAATATTCTGCTACTCATTTCACAATAACAATACAATATTTAAATCATACAGTGTGACCCACTTTTAATGGAAACACTCCTGTATCTTACGTAATTGACTTTATCTTTGGACTTTCCCTTCCTCTTGCAAATTTCAGAACCCTATCTCAATAATTACGTCAGATACGGGGGTGCTTCCGTAGAAAGTGTGACAAAATTTAATTTTTCAGAACAGAAAATTTTCCAGAAAAAATATGAATCGTTAGTGAATGGGGCGTCCTGATTCCGAATCCAAAGTGATTTTCAACCTATTTTGACTCCTAATATCATTTTCCGGAAATTGGCTGTTGGCAAGCAGTGTATAACACTGAAGATGACCCACCCCACTTGATCATAGAGTGCATTTTTGGTATAACTTTCGCTCCAGCAAATTTCAGGATACTTATACATCAGGGTAACTCACGGTCCATGGTACGTTAGACGTTTACGGAGAACGGGACATAGGATCATTCTGAAATTTTGGTTACTCACGTAGTTGCTCTTGGTCTATCGATCTAACATATTTTCAGCTCTGCGGCGTTGCCGCTTCTATCGAAAAGTAGCAACAACTTTGTTATTTTAAATGGAACACCCTGTATTTTATTGCATTTTCAGGTTCTCTCTGAATAGCTGATTTCATCGATGTATCACACTTGGGGTCTAGCAGAAATGATTACAGCGATATAGGGTGTGAAAAATCGTCATTTTTCAACTTTAGGAATTTTTTTTGTCGAAACTATTCATTACTGGTCAAAACGGCTTACATGTCCCTATCTCAACTTTTGATTAACTATCTACTGATATTTAATTTGAACATATACCGGGTGATCAAGAATCCGAATTCTGCACGACCCTGTATTTGTTCCAATTTTGAATGGAATCGGACCAAATCTTGTCCGCCATCTTGGAGCAGCCATTTTTGTCAATTGATGGCGGACAAGATTTGGTCCGATTCCATTCAAAATTGGTGAGTGGGGGTTTTTGAGGTCGAGGATCATGATTTTTTTGTTAAAAATTATAAATTCAAGATGGCGGCTTCCAAATAATTTGTTGTTTTTGTATAAATGACGATAACTCCGTTGTTATCAACACAAAACTATTATTGCGACATATCATCTGTAAGAGAAAAAAAAAAGTTATTTCTCACTAAGTTATAGTGAGCTATGACCTACATTTGAAAAACTAAAGTTGGTGCTGATATCTCAAATTCTAGAAGAGTTGGTATAAATTTCGTATTTTTTTCGAAATCACTTTGAGAAACTGCCATGAGAATGTGAAATTCCTATTTGAATATTTTCATAAATAAAGAAGTTACGGAGGAGACATGAAAATGAACAAAATCTGTTTTTTGCGTATAAAACAAAAACGAATAGTTTTTATCTAAATATTCTTTCACATTATAGTTGGCCTCGACAAACTTCACATTTGGTGTCATTTAACCGACCTCGTATCTCTCACCGTTAAAAAGATACCCATGGTGAGCATGGTAAGTGGGACACACTGTAGACTGTTTTTACTTTCAAATTCACCCTGTATAAAAAGTGAGATATTCCATAAGGACATCGAAAATGGGACTGCCTAGGATAATACTATAGATAATACTCACTGAAATTTAGAAATACTACTCTACACTGCAGCCCATAGGAATATTTGAATATCAGTGGAAAAACAACAAATACCACAAGGAATATCACAGTGAAAATTTTGAAAGCTGCAAATGTAATTCTGAAACAAAACAGACCGATTTTTTGAGTGCAAAACATGTAAGCGCTATACCTATATCTATAGGGCGATTTGATTTTTTTTTCTCATCTTTTACTACAATGATCTACTTCCTCGAGCAAAAAACATTATCAAACACAATTTCTTGGCCTACTGCGATCACAAAATTTCAGCAAAATTGAATTTACAAAAATGTTGATAATGGCAGTCGATTCCGACTAGTCACGGTATTAGACTGACAGATATTTGAACTTATCAATTCCAGTTAAAAACTTCTAATTTCACATCGATAATTTTCTGATTTTGATATGATGTAATATCTTCTCAATATCGATTCGTCATTTTTTCTGTCGCAGAAAAAAATAATGCATTATACACGGGAAAAATATTAGATCTTAGCTCATGGAATTATTGTTATACCATATTATATGATTTTCTTATTCGGCAGTTCCGAAAATCATTCTTTGGTACAGTCGTATTAAAAAAAAAGCGTAGGTACAAGTATTGAACATAGAAGATTTCGGCATCCTAGTTCTCGTTGTGTAAATTTCGCCCAGCCAATGCTTTGTGTTTTTAAGAACCTATGATTAGTCTACTGTCAACATTTGGTAAACATTCATTCCTGATAGCCCGTTTTAGGCAAATAGGATGACGTTAATTTCTCCCTCCAATATATTTGTACGCTTTTTTTTTTGTATACGACTGTACATATACAGAATATATGCAAACATTTTTTGACCCTCCATAACGAAGATACAGGGTATTATGTGAAATTGTTATATAACTTTGATGGCCGATATTTCAGAAATGATTCATCGTAATATGCTGAAATTTGGCAGCGATGTATCTCTATTGAAACTATACAAGATAACATAATATGAAAAAAAAAATCCAGGTCCGGACTTGGGAAAATTTCATGTTTCATTATTATGTCAAAAAAGTTCACTTTGTGACCACTTTTCTCGAAAAATTCCATCAGATTCAGAAAGATCAAACAAAATGCTATAAGAACTGCTCTTCAATTCACACGGCACACTTTGACCGGTTCAATAAAAAAGTAAATTTCGACCTGGCTGATATCTCTCAACTTTCAATAGATATGATTACGCGTGACTCTATATTATAAATTTGTTATAAAGTAGGCACTGTTTTTATTTTATGTAACGTGGCGTTTGTTGATAGGTAAACACTGGTAATCGAAGTATTCGCACCTAGGTGCCACTTCATATTTGAAATGCTGAACAAGACGAAAATCCAAATGCTGTGCTATGTTTAATACCATAGAATATTTCCAGACCCAAGAATACGTTGCAGTAAAACCTTCACGAGGATGAACATTAGGAATAAATAGCAAATGATCCTTTTATCACTTGCAGAAGTGTATGAATAAAAAAAAAATGGAGCTGAGCTTATGCGTGATGGCATAACTAATTTGATAAATTACAATATGGGCACATGAATCCTCATGTCGTAATTTCATCAGTTGGTATCTACCTAGTACTAGCCTAGTACCTACTTATCAGTTCGGAATGGAAAACAGGGCCTACTAGATATCATATCATTACTTCAATTGGAACCCATAAAACAAAGTCAGGAATAATATCTATCTGAAATTTCGATAAAAAAATATCGTGTTTTTTTTTTCTCGTCTATTATTCTTCTGTCAGTTACTATTCAACAAAAATGTAGGAAAAATCAATTCACATGATACCAGTCGAAAGTTGACAGTTATCAGCCAGGTCGGAATTTAAAATTCATTCGAACGATTTTATTCCATATTTTTTTATTGAACCGGTCAAAGTGTGCCGTGTGAATTGAAGAGCAGTTCTGTCTAATCTTTCTGAATCTGATGGAATTTTTGGGAAAAGTGATCACAAAGTGAACTTTTTTGACATAACAATGAAACATGAAATTTTCCCCAAGTCCGGACCTGGATTTTTTTTTTCATGATATGTTATCTTGAATAGTTTCAGTAGAGATACGTTGCTGCCAAATTTCAGCAGATTACGATGAAACATTTCTGTAATATCTTCGTTATGAAGGGTCAAAAACTGTTTTCCATATATATACATCAACTCAACATGAAACACCCTGTATAATGATTGAAAATAATTGAAATTTTTATATTTATAACTTTTGACTGCATCTGGGACTGCATAATATGTAGGTGCTAGCATATCATCAACACATTGAAGATTCAATCCCGATTATAAATTTTTGTTCACTCCCGCTATATCAAAACATTGGATGATCTTTCAGCCTAAATTTTTGACAAGATTCCAGAGCATAACTACACAATAGGTTTTATACACACTTCTTGTTATTTTTATTTGATCAACTGGTTTTATGAAAATGCTTCTATTGTGTCTGATGATCAATTTTTTAGTATAAATATTTTTTGGTAGACGGACTCTCGACTCTTTCATTATAATCTTCATTACATGAAACCTTCAGGAAATTTTTGCTAGCGGGTTCATATTTTTCCTAATAATAATCTTTTGTTCAATGAACTACTAATGAAGTTTCAAGTAATTTGTTTTTAATGGGAATTTATATTAAAACAAGATTACTTTTCAATCATTCCTTCAATTTGGAAAGGAGATAAGAGAATAATAGATAGGTAACTTTTTTGTTTGTTTTCCCCAATGATCTCTTTCATATGACGTATTATTGATAAATATTATCATCAACACAATAACATATATTTGATTATCCAGGATTTGTATATCAACTTCACAAATTTAAAAAAACAACAGATACCTTTTTGTGAGCCTGAAGCATCTAGATTTCACAATCTTTTCATCTAATACAAGACTATACTTCAGTTTTCTCATTGATTTCGGATTGTTCTTATTCAAATTCATTTTTAATTTTTCAGGTTCCGACCAACACTCAACACAATACTGATCACTTTGAACAACCGTTCAATGCAACCTAAACATTTTTACAACAAATTATCAAAGCCATAGGCGTGCAAAGAATCAGAAAGGGTAAATTTGAATTCAATTTTTTTTATTGGATTTTTTTAAGGTTATACCTTCTAGGGAATACATCCCTAGACGAAAAATTCAAGGTGTTTGCTGAACCTTTAATAGGTTGATAAATGACAGGACAATGGCAGACAGCGATTACAGTTATTTTTGTCATAAAAAATATTTGTATGAATTATGTCAGATACGCCTAACTACCTGCAGACCTCTATTCCGATTATACACGATCTATTGCTGACTATATCCGAGTTTTTTAGTGAACATTTTCTCAAAATACCGCTTTGGGTACGCCCATGGTTGAAATTGGGTAGAGAAAGAGCCATTTGAACTTCTAGGAATATGTTTGAAATAATCAGAAACAAACGAGATAATCAGACAACAAACGCTCGGTGATATTGGATGGATTAGATACATACAATAGAATATGAAGTGATTTATAAATTCGATACATAGTTCAGAAATCACATCAACAACATAGATAAAATTAATGGAAATGGAAATTAGTTACATGTACTCCCCGAAATATGAATTCTAAGAATTTTCAATGGATTTCATGCACCAGTGTAAATATCAATATCTGTTCCCCATTATTTTGTTCAGGACATAAGTTGTTATTTCACACTGTATTTTTATCCCATGTAAATCTTAATTGGCACAAGTAATTTCAATTTTTTTAATGAAATGCTGCATATTCATTAAAAACATGATAATGAAAAAACGAATATTACTTTTTTATGAATAATAAGTAGTTGTCTCCTTGTCGTTTCATATGTGACGTAAAATACTATGCATTCATTTATCAATGTATATAAATAATAATTCTAAATCAATTTTATGGAAAGCCTGGAGGGAATGTTTATCATTTTTTCTCAATCCATTTCTACTCTATAGGATTCAGATCAGGGTTGTGTTTAGGTCATAATCCCAGTTATAATCCATACCAATGATGGAATTTATTTATGCAAAATATTATAGCAAATATTTGGTAAATAGTTATTTATTATACAAGGGAAAAAAGTAGTAGATTTTAGCTCCAGGTTGAGTTGTCTCCCGAAGCGTAGCGGAGGGAGCCAAAAAACCGTGAGCTAGAATCAAATATTTTTCACGTGTATTTATATTATACACTATTTTTTTCGGTGACAGAAGAAAGGACGAATCAATATTGAGAAGATATTACATTATTTTTAAATCTGAAAATTATCGACGTGAAATTTTAAGTTTTTAACAGTAGGGACACCTGCGTTGTGGGCATCTTTATCAATCTTTTGAAGTAATCAAATATCTGATGTCACTTCTGTCAGTCTAATTCTGTGATTTGATTTAAAAAAATCGCGAATTTAGTGGTTTTTTAGTAATATACGTAACCGCGAAGTCCAATGGAAGATATAAGGACTTGCAGTTCTTTCTCGGAGACGGTATTATTGACTCATTTTCCGGAACTATAGCACAACAAAAGCCATCAACAGTATATATGTGATATATATCCGGGAAAAAAGTACTCACTTTTTTGCCACGGGAAAAAGTAACTCATGAAAAGTGACATTTTATAACCTGCCAACAGAGATGAAGTGCCAAACTTTTTTTCCGTCACAGAAAAATAGTTATTTTTGTATCTAGAGCGCGAAATGCTACTTTGGTGATCGAGATCTGATTTTTTTAATGAGGCGTAGCCGAGTTGAAAAAATAGTCGAGATGACCAGAGTATTTCGCGCTCGAGTTGCAAACAACATTTTTTCTACAAACGTCAAGAAATATCGTTCTAAAGTAAAAATATTCTTAGCTTGATATAAAAAATAGTGTTGAACTAGCTTAAAAAGCCCTTCCCCTATCCTCCCTAGGTACGCACGATGTTTCACGAACATAATAGGAATTTCCTTTTGTGCGCTCCAAGAGATAAAACAAAGTTATTGTCGAACATTAATGATTTCGTGGATGTTTGCTTAATTGAGGACCATAAAGTTGAAATATAAATATTTCATATATTTTTCATAACAATGCGCGAAGTAGGAACTTCGCGCACTGTTTTACTTCGCGCATTATTTTGTGCAAGGTATCATGGTAACGTAGGAAACTGAAAAAAAGTGTCACTTCGCAATTTGTTATCAATGCGTTTGTAGAAAAACATAATTTTCCTATATTTTTTCGTAATTTCCGTTTTCAAATGATTTAAGTAAACTCAAAGAAAACCAACTTCTTTATACACTCTTTAAGAATATAATATGTAATGCACCTATACTTCACTTTCATACACCATATTTGAATATTCTTTTGAAAAGTGCATTTCACACCAGTATATCTCCACCTCCTGAAGGGTAGTTGTGTATCATACTCAAATTCAAGAAGGGATAAAATCAGGATACTTAAATGATGCAAAATTATATGTGGTTATCAAGGTGGTTATATTTGGCCAGTATTTGTCAATTTGGCATAGATACACCTATACAAAAAATTCATCTGTTACCTAAAATAGGTATCACAATTTGGCTAAAACAAGATTTTGGCGCCATTGCCAATTATTGCCATATTAATTTCATACAAAATGTGTCCCAGCACATTTCCTATGTTGAAAATATCATGAAAAATACACATAAAAGATGTCCTGTTAATCAATTCATTATCAAAATTGCGATTTTTCTACTTACATATGGAATAAAAAAAGGACATAGAGAGAAAATGGAATAGCACTGAGACCTATCAGATTGGTAAGTATGTTGTGGTTGGTAGAGAACATATTCTTTGGATCCTCTTTATACAGTTGTTCAAGAAACACTGAAATGAGAACTAGTAGACTTTACCACAAACAAAAACAAACGACCACATTCAAGGAATGAACCAGACAAAGAAACATCCAATTTTATTATGTTGATATCATATGATTTTAGTCATCAATAAATCTGAACTGAAAGCTCCTCTGAAGTTCAATCTCTGTTTGAACTTTGAACACAAAATATCCAGCTATTTCCTCAAGTGGGGCCTACTCTTATACTTATATTAAAACAGGTACAGTAGTTGTTGAAATGCCTATTTACATGTATTCATATGTTCTGAATAATGTCATTGAATTTTTAAGCCTAGGTACACAATCACATGGAGTGTTTCCTGCAATACTCTGCAATAACCCAATTGATATCAAATAAAAAATGAACAAACAATGGAAATAAAGTGAATTCAGGCAGCAGTCTACTGGTGAATAAGTCATGAGATTTTAGCCATGCATATTACATTATTCAGATTGACTTACAATAATTACCAAAATTATCATTACATAATTATATTAAAGGTTGAAGAGTGAGTTAAAGAAGCAGAACAGAGACTTCAGGTGATAACTACTTCATAAAAAGCTAGTGATTTGAGTATTGATATTCCCAGTTTCAACATTATTTTGACTCTCTCTTTATTCACATTGATTGATAGATAATGACTTACCTCTTAATGAATCTTCGCTTCAGGACCCAGATCATATCCAACTGTCTTTTCATTCAATAGAAATAATTATGTAGTGAATCAAGATGCTCTATTTTCTGATCATGGATATAAAGCAACTGAAATTGTTTGATGTTATGATTCTTCCTTTGTACATTGAAGTAGAGGTATGTAGGAAACAAGCTGATTTTTTTACTAATAAAAGAAAATGGTAGTTCAAGATTTTTGACAAGAGTACTTATGAAATACCTACAAAAACTTATGTTTTCTATATCTGCTATAGTGGCTACATGCTAGAGTACAGAATGAGGATTCAATAATAAAAGAAGTATTGTGTAATAAAATAACTCACCACTGATAACCTTTGGTATATTATCAATCGAATGCTCAACGATCATTATCAAGATAATATAAATAATCAAATTTTATTCTCTAGGAATATAATAATAAGTCGCCATTCTCGGCATAATAAAACCACATTCAAACATTATTAAATTAAAATAATCAGAGGAAATAGAAAAAGAAATTATAAATAATAAATGAAAAAATAATTCACTGTCAAGTTCATTTGTCACCTGTCAAGAGTCAAAACAAAATGCGAAATGTCAAAATCCAGAGAGCCCAGAGTGGCGCAGACAGCTGAAAGAGGCCCCCCAATTCGTCTGAGCCCCCCAACAAATATTACTTTCTTTTTGATTTATGTCTGTACAATCCTTCCTCTTTTCTTCTCGAAGTGATTTATCGAAGAGAATAGGTACTGTGAAGGCACTGTTGGGGTCGATAGCAAAGAAACCTACTATTCTTTGTCGATAGTGTTTAGCTATTTCAATGATGTTTTTTTCCAGGATCAGCCCACTGCCGTGAGCGAAGCGGAAACTTCGGTGGAAATTCGTGTGCCAAGACAAAGATCTTTAGCAAATTCCAAACAATGAACTGATTCCAAAGAACCTAAAGTTTGCGAAGCATTCCCACCATCGCGGCCCCTGCCCTGAAGGTCTATGCCCATATCTCATATCAATATCACAATGATTTACTTGATAGAAGACAAACCCAGTTGGCTGACGCCCTCATTTTAGCATCCAACTTTCTGACATGATCACGAATCTCAAAATATCACGTGATAGGAATCCTTCGTAAGATTTAGGCTCATTTATATATAAAAATAGGTTATGCGAGCAGGTATGCAACCCATATTGCGACAATTGCCACATATTACATTACCTTCCTTCCTCCTTCCTTCTTTGTACAGGGCGTCACGACCCCCTGTGGATGGGCTCAACCTTTTCGGTTATTTACCCAGGCCTTTACCTCATCTAACCTTTACTATCAGCTATGTAGGATTCAGGCAGGAATCCCCTTCGATCTTATCCGTACTGATTAGTTTCGAACCTTCAAATTTCAAATTTCTAAATAGCGATGATTTGATATACATATATGAAATATATGCGATAATTATAATATTTGACTTAAGAGTAAAATAAAGTATACCTACATTATAAAAATAATGTTATTATTGTTATTTCAAACAACAATATATTACCTATTGAATCGTAATATGAATACTGTCTGTAGGTTATATATTAATCGAGGTGGTATTATATATTCATTATTCCAGATTGTTTTGGGAGTTTCTCTTTCCATTTTCTCGCGAATGAATCTTTCTTTTAGGCTCTCTCATAGGAACATTTTTTAAACGCAGTGACAATCTGTTGGGGCAAACATCTGTTTGTCCTCACTATACATGTATATATTGAAATAACTTATATTATTATATTCTATCGAAATAAGGAGAGAAAATGCCAAAAAATCTGGAGTAATAAACAATTAATACTATTGCAATAATACATTTTCGTTGAAAATCATTCGAATAAATTATGAAAAATCACAGATGGTATGACATAATTTCTATGACATAATTTCTATCTCATTTCTACCTAAGTAGTTACCCTAAAGTAATCAGAGGTGTATACACTAAATCAGGATCGGCTTGAATATTCTGAAAGTTGTAGTTGGCCGTGTACTCATTATCTTGGTCCCCTTGCTCTTGTGTCTTCTGGTAAACAACCCTTTGAAAACGACCATCAGGCTGGACGAGGTAGAAAGTCTGGCCTTCTGGATTACCGGCTACTGCTGTTGCTATGGCGACATTCGGATTACCAGAACTTTCGTCGTCTGTTTCGGTTAGCTGGGGATAAGTAATGATATATATCAATGTAGTTTTATTGAATTTGAACATCCAACACATAATATCAAAGCAGTACTACTAAGAAAACAATGCGCAAGTTATTTTCTGCATAAAAAACCTTGGAACACAAGGTGCCTATTCACTTATTCGAAACAATATTCAGTATCTACGTACGCCGAACACAATTTTTCAAGCCATGATTCTGATTCTATATAATATGATTCTAGTTCAACACTTTCTATCTTTGAACTCTATGAAAAAAATGGGGTATGCCTCATATATAGTTTTATTGAACGGTACAAAATTTGCTATGCTGTTAAACTTATGCCAATTAGGTAGATACTAACCATACAATCAATAAAAATGTTACTTACCATTGGCTCTTCAACTGTTGCTTCAGTGGGTCTCACCGTAGTTACCGCCCTTGATGCAGTCGTAACTGGTCTTTCAGTTGTCACCCTTGGTGTTGTGGTAGAAGGTAAATATCTGTCACTTACTGGTTGGTAACTCTGAGAGTTGACATCATCGTTCTGACCAACTGATTTTACTTCAACCTGTTGAATATCGATATTCATGGGATTCATAAACCGTTGATCGATCGGTGGAAAGCTAACAGTGGAATCACCGTGTGGTGCAATGGTTTGAGTTGGAAGATCAATATCATTTTGAACACCTCCGAAATTCTGGGTATGGTCTCGCCCAATTTCTGGTTGGATACTTCTGAATCTGTTGGCTTCCTTTATTGGAAGGTGTTGCTGTGAAAGTTCTATTGTAGGCACATTGTTACCCAAATTGCCTGCTTGTCTGTTTGCACTAGCTGAATTTCTAAAGTCAACAGCTTCTCTTAGGGGCAAATATTGTTCAGTAAGTGGCCTTGGATTTAGCTGCTGCTGTTGAACTCGGTACTGCTGTGAAAGTTCTATTTTAGGCACATTGTTACCCAAATTGCCTGACTGTCTGTTGGCATTGGCTGAATTTCTAAAGTTAACAGCTTCCCTCAGTGGCAAATATTGTTCAGTCAGTGAATTTTGATTAATAAGCTGATGCTGTTGTTGAACTCGATACCTTTGTTGTTGAACACGTTCGAAACTTTCGATCCCTCTTTGATCTGGCACTCCATATTGACCTTGAAGGCCTTGTTGATCATAACCTCTCGGTGCTTGATAGTTATTATTCAGAGATATGCCTGATGGCATATATTGAACTTGTGGCTGATTATGCCGAAAGTTGTCTCCAAAAGGTTTCGGTGATTGGTAGTTATTATTACTATAAATCATCTGAGAGTTCTGTGGTCTGCTTGGCACTGGTTTTCGATTTTGATCTATATTATTTCCGAATAATGGTCTGGATGGTTGATAATAATGGTAATTATCATTTTGTCGTATCTCTGGTGCTCCATACTGCACCGTTGGCACCTGTTGCTTGCTTGGGACTCCATATGTTGTTTGGAGATGGCTGGTTATCCTCAAAGAATCTTGACTTCCAGGAATTCTGCTCGGTTGCTTGTAATTGGTCTGAGGTCTAACTACTGTTCTCGGAGGAATTATTGGTCCGAGTAGATCTTCAAGGTATTCAAAGTTCTTTGAATTTGGCACTCCATATTGGGTTTGGGGTGAAGAAGGGTATTGTTGTTTAGGAGGTCCGTAAAAAGTTTGAATGTGACCTTTGGCTGGTAATAGCAATGGTTGGCTTGGTCTGAAAGATCCAGAAAATGGCGGAGGGACTTCACAGATAACTGTTGTTAGAATGACCAAACCAAATCCTAATATCTGAAAAAGAGTGTATTCATATACATATATTATAGTTATTCCATCAGTTAATATTTATTATTGAAAGTGAAAATCACTCTTACCTTCATAGCGAAGACACCAATACAACTAAGGAATAAGTAATAAGAATTGGCATTTATATAATCTTACGAATATCATTTGTATTCCGGTGAAGATTTTTTTGAACGTGTGGTGGTATTTTCTTCATTGTACGTATATCTGGCTTATCAATAGGTTTTGTTTCATTGTTTGTGACCCAGATATTGCTATTCATTATTGAATTAATTGAGAATATGACAAATGGGAGACTCCTGATGGATATTGATTTCAAAATATAAGAGGAAAACAAATTGCGAGGATGTTCATGTTATTTAGTGGATAGTTAGTAGATATAGGTGTATATGATTTCACTAGACAGTGAGTATATGATTATGCATGCATTAGAATACGGAAGTAAAACATATCCGACAACAGAGGAAAACCTTTCTCGCTTCGGGCAAAGACAAAGAATTTTCACACACAACAATTATTAGTTTCCTCGGAAAACCCTTCTGATCAAAAGAGGGATTATCACGATGTGAGGGAAGGAAAAATATCTAACTGAATGTTTCAAATTCAAGAAGACTTCTCAAATTCGGGTTAATTTATTGATATGTTTGTCCCATTTTAAATAACGATCTATTATCAGTTTTAATCATTTCCTTTTAGAGAAATCGACTTTTGGATGAATATTTCCATTGCAGGCCAATTAATTGGAAAGTGTGAAAACTCAATTAGCCGATTTGTGGAGCTTGATGGGTGCCGTGAAATTTCATTACAACTGAAACAATTAATCACGTGGGTGCTATTCAGTGACGGTAATGGTGATATCAAAACATTTAACAGAATTCACAAACAGACCAGGTGTCTCGCAACTTCATTGTTAATTCTATTATTGCTACTCCAATAATTATTATAATGGTGTTGTACATAGTTGTTGAACTAGTCGCTTTTATACGTGCTTACCAAGTACATAGTTTGTGTGTACAGGGTATTTCCGAATTTTCTACACCACTCGTTTTTACCTGTACGATGCGTAATAGTAAATCAGTATACAGGGCTTCCCAGAAATAATGTCTAAATTCATTCAAAATCGAGTAGTGACTTTTACGGAAAAACGTCGAACCCGTTGATTTTTAATTTTTTCGAGCTTCTTTTTTCGTGGTACATATATGTAGGGTAGTCCAAAAAGCAGTTACGACCGTCAACTTCATTTTTTCAAATGAAAACACCTTTTTTGTTCTCCATTTCTGAATCCTGCATCGAATTCTTAGTATGTTTTATGTAAACTGGGCGTCAATTGAAACGTTAATAGTGAAATTTGGCATCAAGTTTGACTTCTCGTAATTTCTAGAATATTGAACGAATTTTGAATTGCCGCCCAGATTCTGAATGCCTTTATCATCGTCTTTCGAACCGTTCCTTACAGCTTCTTCTAAATTGATCAGGACCCGTGATACAGGGTGAAACAAAGTTTCGTGCATTTCGAAAAATATTTCTCCGCCCCCCCCCCATTTTGTCGAAGGACCACGATGCTCATATTTTATTCGGGCATTTCATAAATAGCAACCATACCTCGGGACGTTTTCGAGTTTTCGCCAAAAACTACTGTGGTTTCAGAAAAAAAAAATTTTGCATTTTTTTTAAATGGACTAATTTTAGAGGAGTTCCATAAATGGATGCTTTTATGCATTTCAGGAAAGCGTTGGAGCAGATATATGTATACCAGGTTACTCAAAAACAATCAATAATTTATTACTTTGCAGTCTATGATAAAAGTTTTCTACCTTAAAACAAACAACGATACCTTGTTTCTATAACAACGTATTGTTGAAATAATGTAGGTATGCATAGAGGTTATATCAATTGCCAATTTTCATGAAATCGTCAGTGTTATTCGGGTCCTAAAAAATTTAAAGATGCCTCGTTCAAATCGGGTCGAAATGAAAAATATCATTAGATGAGATCACTATAGTGATATAAACTATAATTCAGTACAGATAATTATTATTTCAGGTTACGACGATTAGGATATACCCAAACTTATTTAAGTATCATTCTCAATGAGTCAGTCATGACAATAAATAGACTGATTCATCGATTTGAGGATACAGGTAATCAGGCCATTTAAAAAAAATTTAAAATTTTTTTTTGGCAAAAACTCGAAAATGTCCCGAGGTATGGTTGCTATTTATGAAATGCCTGAATAAAATATGAGCATAGTGGTCTTCCGACAAAATGGGGGGGGGGGGGGGGCGGAGAAATTTTTGTCAAAATGCACGAAACTTTGTTTCCTGATGAATTTAGAAGAAGCTGTAAGGAACGGTTCGAAAGACGATGAAAAAGGCATTCAGAATCTGGGAGGCAATTCAGAATTCGTTCAATATTTCAGAAATTACGAGAAGTCAAACTTGATGCCAAATTTCACTATTAACGTTTCAATTGACGCCCAGTTTATTATGTCCTTTAGCCTTTAGCAGTTGTTATCAATTGACTGTGGAATAAATGAATAGGTAAGACCGTACTCATGGAGCGCACGGATAGAAATTCCTATAATGTTCGTGGAACATCGTGCGTAGCTAGGCAAGATATAGGGAGAGGAGGTAGGTGTTGGATTTTTTTAAAATTCTTGGAGGTTATATAAGCTCTTGGGAATAACTTCTATTGGCAAAAACTTCCAAAGCTTCGCCGTTCTATAGACGAACGAGTTTTGGTAGAGTGCTGTACGACATATTTCAATGTTGACGACGAGAGGATCTGACTGGGCCTATCGAGTTTGTCTGACTGGTATTGTTAGTGATGGAATTATAGCAGGGATTTATGAGGAACATTTTCTGTGGAAGTAGCTATAGAAAAGTGAAAGGTCGCCAACTTTTCTACGGTGTTCTCATAGGGTCAAAGAGTTAGTGAGTGTAGCATCAGCGCATGTTTGGGTGGCACACAATGAGTGCTGAGTCCTATACATGAGAACAGTATTCTAAAACTGGCAGTACTTGAGCTTTGAGAAGCTGTTGAGGTGTAAAGTAGATTTTCGTACGGAACAAGAATTCGCGTTTTGCGATAGATCGGACATGATTTTCCCATGATAGAGTATTGCTTATGGTAATACCAAGCATAGATATAGTGGCCTTGGAGGTAATGGTGGTACCAGACATTGTTCAGGCATACTGAGTTCCGCCCTTCTAGAAAAAATACAGGCTTTTTTGGTGCCGTTGAATTCAATTAGGTTGTTGGTTTCCCAGGCTGTAATTTCTGCAAGATCTCCACTGAATCCATTGGACCCAGACTGCCCCTGTGCGTACATTTTCGGATGAAACTTTTCCCAATCGGTATAGATATAGGAACGACAGGACCTTCTTTTTGTAGGGTTTCACCACAAATCGAGAGTATTTGTTGAAATACCAAACAAAAGCTGGGATTCCTCTTCCGCACGAAGAAGTATTTCACCTCACAACAGCTTCTGACACTCTACAAAGCCCAGATTCGACCATCCCTTGAGTACTGTTCGCACGTCTGGGGATCAGCTCCAAAACACTTCCTGAGTTGCTGGAGTCGGTTCAGAGAAGAGCCATTAGGCTCATCCCAACTCTGACAAGATCACTGCTAACTTTACAACATCGGAGAGTCGTTGCAGACCTATCACTCTTCTATCGCTACTATCATGGACGATGCTCTGTTGAATTGTCATCAGCTGTCCCCCCTGGAATGACCTTTGTTCGCCAAACGTGGCTGGCTCAAGTCCCACACCAATATGCAGTCAAAATTGAAACACCTAGAACAACATATTTCAAGAACTCCTCCTTTTGTAGGACATCTTCACTGTGGAGTTCTTCACCCACAGATGTATTTCCAGCGAACTACAATCTATTTACCTTCAAGAGGAGGATCCATCGATATTTGTCCCTCCTTAGTGCTCGCAGTTCCACCACGGGATTATAGATCCAACCTTTTGCGAGCACTTCCGAATAAAAAAAAATCTGTATTCCACACAATGTTCATAAAATGAACAAAAATGGTAGATTTCTGGAGAAAAACATCTACATTCCTGGCTAATGCCACGCAGAACGTTGAATTACATCATCCCGAAATCTATGTATCGACTCGTATAAACGAATACTGATACAAGTGATTCTTTCCTGAATGCCTATTGATATTGACTCGTTTAGTCGTTTCTATATGGGTAATGCCGGTAATGGTCGATGATAACATGTATACGAGAATACGCGACCAAATTGGCCTTAGGGCTTCTGCCTTTTGCTTTAGCTACTTTTATCTGGAATCGTTTGAGATGTATTTCGATCGAGGATCAAAGAGCGGCTCGCCTACCCAGGGGCGGATCTTTAAAGGACATACTCTCTGTAGGCAAAATTATTCTCTTTTTTTTATGTAATGTAGAAATACATTGAGAGTTCGCATTCTCTATGTGATGAAAATATCAATTTTCTCTCGGTTTATTCAATAGAAAAGAACTACTTTCCTGGCTATTTGCCACGTTGAACATTGAATTATATCTGTTGAATATCCAAAAAGAGAGCATAAAAAATGAAATCTCAAATCGAAATAGTATATTACGTAACAAGTGTTATAAACGTCCTTTTAGTAGGTAACGAGTAGTTTAAGCACGAGCGGCGGAGCAGAGCGCAGCGAGTGCTTAATGAAGTGTCTAGAATAGTTTATAAACGCATTACATACTATGATTTTTCTACGATCTCCGAAAATTACATTAACATACCTGCAATTCCTGCTAACCTACAAAATAATTCAAAAGGAATGGGAATTGGGGCATGCAACCAGCGAAACACGTATAAGTGATATTGGTTGTAGATGTGTCCAGTCTATTTCTTCGTCTACATTTCGCATATAAAGAATTTCTGATACAAACGAATATTGTTTGAATAATTCTGATACAAAATTCGAAAATAACAGTTGACAGTTAATACAATTGACCAGACATGTCTCAAATTACTGAAGCTGTGTTTAATGAACTGCGTTGCCATGGTAATGTGTTTAAGAAATCGTGTTGCCATGGTAACGTGTTTAATACTTTGAA